AAGGTCCTTCCTCCCGCGTATAAAATCGTTGGCCTCCTGGGAACAGAGTTTCTTTGCTGTGGATGTTGCCAGATGATCTGAGAAAATGTCAGTGTGTCCAGAGCTTGGTTGAAAACCTAGCAGAATTTGGGATATTGGGAAGGAAAGAGGTCTCGAAACTGAATTGCAATGTGAAATCAAGGATATTGCATTTTATACATATCTGCTCCCTTGGGAATCCAGCTGGTCATGATGTCGCTGGGAGTGAGCAGTGGTGCCACAGAGATCCTGTAAATATGTGCTGGAAATTCTTTGGACAGCCTTTCACCGGTCATGAGCCAAAACTGTCTAATGAAGCCAATGTGACAGCAAAGACCATAAAGGTCCTATGCCCAGGGATGTTCACTGGTACTGTTTAAGTGACTAATATGGATGCAGCTTTGGGCTGCATCTAGTTTATAGGCAAGGTGTAGGTTGCCAAACTGCTTGGACTGGGACAGTGCAGAGAGCAAGTTAAGCAAGGAGGACCTTAGTATTTAACCACTGTTTATACATGGATGCTGAATATTTTTTTGCTTAACTTTTGATCCATGGGTTTAATTTTTTTTTTTTGTCTATTTTGGTCTCATATTGACCAGCTTGGAGGAAAAGAAAGGGCAAATTGCAGTTTTCTGCCCAGGGAGGTTGTTACCTCTGAGTTTGCTTTTTGGGGTGCGAATGCTCTCCTGGCTTATGTGGTATATTCCTAATATATTAGTTTGCTAGCCTTTTCAAATACAATCCAATAGGTGTGTTTCTACATATATTATTATGCAAAAAGGGTTCTATATATAGTATTTTAAGTATCAGTAATATAATTTGCAGAAGTAACATGATTTACTAAAAACAAATCCCCAATTCCTAACAAAATTTTTAGATAATCAGTTTTTTTCTAGAATTTCTATGATATTTAAAAATATCATAATCTAAGCTAATTCATGAAGACAGTACCTTTAAATATAGATATAAATAAAAAGTACTAATAAAAATCAGAATTGATTGTAGTTGTGTGTAATGTTAATATTTCCTCAGTATCCCATATTGGAAGAAACTAAAAAATGAACTTATAGTGCATAGCATAAAATTATGCAAGAGTTCCAATAAATATCATACTAAAGTATTAACAATGAGCTGCAAAATAACAGAATGACAAGTGATGCAACAATCTTCCTGATTAAGTGGGCAGGTTGCTAACCAGATTGTTAATTAGTGCAACCTTATACCTAGGCACCCATTCATGTAAGATTTTTCACAGCATTCTGCCCTGCGTAATCCTATTGAAGCTGTGAAAAGCAACAGGTGTTGAGTTTGGGTATGTTTGGCATATTAATTAGACCTGAGCAAAAAAACTTTTAAAAACGCAGCTGTTAAGTGTTTTAGTCCAAATAAACTCCGATAATAGTGCTGAAGCTCTATGTAAAAATAATTTATTATCAAACTATTCAAAATCCATATGGCAGCAGAAGCTATTTCTTGTAACACGTTGTTTTTTCTTAAAAACTGAAAAGGCCCGTTAACATCTTCTTTGGGCACTCTGCTGACAAAGGCTGGCTAACATTTTAGTAGCAATGCTGTTATATATCACAGTATCCATGCTGAAATATTTGGATATTGGAGATTCTCAGCTATCAGTGGCTGTCATTAGAACATGCTTTAGCCTCTTACATGGCCAGTAGAAAGTAGCTTGCTATGAATACAAAAGCAGTCAAAAGGGATGGGATAGAAAAAAGTTTTTTCTTAATTTTTAAATTTAAACTGGCAATAGTAAGGTTTATTTAAATATATATAGCATCCTAGTTCAAGTACTAAAAAAACCTCCCCCAAATACTGAGCGCAGAAGGAAGGTGTGTTTGACCTGATTTTAAACGCTGTGGGATAAACAGCCTAGCACTCAAAATACAAGAATTGTAAGTCTCCTCAGTGCCTGGTGAGTCATAAAACCTCTTCTCGTGTCACCCACAGAGTTAGGAATCTTGCACAAAAAATGAGCATTTAAACAGAGCAGCTTTTAAAAATGGGATAAAAATGAAAGTGCCAGGGACAAATGCAGAAGTAGTGGAACAGTTTAAAAGTATAACAAGAGAAAGGAACAAGGAAGCAGAAAAGCAAAGAACAGAATGCCATGGTCAGAGGATCAAGGAAAAGAGGAATAATTATAGGGAACAGGAAGTAATCAAGAATAAAAGTAGGACAAAGAACATCGTAGGCAGTGAAGGGAGGTAATGACAGTAAAAATATAAGGATTTCTTTAGATCAATACAGAAAAAGAAACCAGGCTTACCTGTGTGAGCTGGAAGGTGCGTGACAATATTGTCCAGGGCAGGACAACATGAAAGAAGCTGAGACGCAGGAGAAGGGAAGGTAGCTTGGCAGTGTGTCCCTTCCGTCAGCAGGAAAAATGGATGGGAGCCCCGGTTTCTGTGTCTGTGTTTTGTGTACATTTTCCACCTGAAGCGCACCCACACGTAAATGAAGGCAGCTTTTCCTGTTAGGAACTTGAAAAATCTGGAATCGGGCCAAAAAAAAAAAAAAAAAAAGGCAGGGAAAAGAGCCAGTGCTGATTTTTCTTTTCTTTGTCTGTCTCATGATGCCAGAGCAGTAGGATTTGCTGATATTACTAAAGTATTGCAAATCGTATAATGTTTCTTAAAACCCTTGGTATCCATCTAATTCGCATTTCATTCATGTTTGCGTTGACATTTTGCATACTTCCTTTATGCCTGATAGTGAACCATTTTAAGCTTAGGCAATACTTATATGTCTGTGTGTTATGAAAAAAGATACACAGTTTCCCATATTCTTTTCAACAAGACCCACAACATAAAATGCCTCAATTGAGAAACTCTGTACATTTAATAATAGCTTAATCTTCTCTCTCTAAGTACTTTGGAAGAAGGTGAATAGATGTGATTTACCAAATTCTGTGTAGGAGCCAGCTGGCTAGAATGAAACACAAAAAGGAAAAACGTGAGATCCTTGTATTTTGCTGCACACAGCCAAAGAAGGTGTCCCGGGACTACTGCATTACTATATAGCACAAGGCTACAACATGTGGTAGTGGTGTTCTGTAGTACCACAGCTACCTGGAGTGGCACTGAAATATCCTCATGTTTTCCAACTGGCTGGGATGCTGGAAACTGCTTAGAATAACCCTCCAGCTGTACTACCACTTTATTTCTCAGCCAAGCTAAGCAGTCAAGGTGAGGGCTTGTAGGACTATGCTGGTATCTTGGGAATTGCTTCTGATAAATAAGTTGACTCTTTCAGAACTGGTTTAGGTGTCTCAGCCAAGGATACGTCCAGACCATATGCACAGAAGGGTTTAATTCTGGCAAAAGCCATAGACATTGCTCAAAGCCGCACCAACAAAGTAGCTGTCAACATGGAAAATGGGAGATAGCAAATTATGTAAATGAAGGTAATAACGTGACCATTATTAGAATTATTCCCCACTTTTTATTAAGTTTCATAATATAATCTAACCTATTATTTACATTAAATTTCAATTGGTATCTCCTATCTGCCTCCCTTTTAATTACTGTAAACATGGTTCAAATCTGATTTCCTTTTATGACAAGGTAACCCATCTAGTTGATCAAGTACAGACTGTTGATGTAATCTTTTTGGATTTCAGAAAAGATTTTGATGGTGTCTCTCCTAGTATCCTTCTGGACAAAATGTCTGGCATACTGCAGTCACGTGACAGTTGAGCAGCTGGTTCACAGGTTGGGCACACAGTGTTGTAGTGCTTGTGACTGGTCACTAGTGGGGTTCTGCCGGGCCCCACCTTAGGCCCTGTGCTCTTCAACATTGTTGTAAACAACTTCTATGCAAGGCTCAGAAGGACACTAAATGATGTTACAAAAATGAGAGCTATTGATTACCTCGAAGGCAGAGAGGCCCTGCAGAGACACGTTGACAAATTAGAGAGATGGACAATCATCAAGCTTATGAATTTTAACAAGGGCAAGTACTGGATTCTGCACCTGGGATGGGGCAACCCTGGTTGTGTGTACAGACTGAGGAATGAGTTAATGGAGAGCAGCACTGTGGAAAGAGACCTGGGAGTCCTGGATGATGGCAAGTTGGACATGAGTCAGCAGTGCCCTGGCAACCAGGAGGGCCAACTGTGTCCGGGGGGGCATCAGGCAAAGCATCACGAGCTGGTCCAGGGAGGGAATTGTCCCACTCTGCTCTGCACTGGGGTGGCCTCACCTGAAATATTGTGTGCAGCTGAGGGCACCAAAATATGTAAAAATATATTGAGCTGTTAAAGAGTGACCAAAGGAGGACAATGAAGATGGTGAAGGACCTCGAGGGGAAACTGTATGAGGAACACCTGAGGACACTTGGTCTGTTCAGCCTGGAGGAGTCTGAGGGGAGATCATTCACAGTCTACAACTTCCTCACAAGGGGTAGACACTGTTTTGACCAGGACCCCAGGGAAGTTGTGTCAGGGGAGATTTAGATTAGATACTTCACCCGGAGGATGGTTGTGCACTGGAACAGGCTCCCTAGGGAGGTGGTCACAGTGCCAAGCCTGATGGAGTTCAAGAAGTTTTTGGACAATGCTCTCAGGCACATGGTGAGATTGTTGGGGCTGTCCTGGGCAGGGCCAGGAGTTGGACTTTGATGATCCTTGTGGGTCCCTTCCAGCTCAGGAGATTCTGTGATTCTGTAGTAATACAAATTTTGCAACCTTTTAAAATGCAAGTTGTTTTCTCTCTTCTGTGTTTAACAACAAGTAGAGGCACAGAAAAGGAAGATAAAATAGTGAGAGTCCTAATCTAGGAAAGTACAAAAAATTAATTAATTTAGCTTTAGCAGTTTGGTTTTATATCCAAGATTAATGGACATCTGCTACAAATTGTTTTCTGTTCACGCTTTCCTTTCAAATGTTAAAATGGTGATAAAATGTTTTCCTCTCTGACAAGATAGATCTATTCCTATTCATGGGAATCTGAGATACCATTGTGATGAATGCCATGAGAAACTTATAATTCTGGGTGCAGCATAAGCTTCAGAAGATTTGCACTAAATAAAGGAGTGGCCAGAAACTGAATGAGCAGGGCTGAACAACTGCCCTTTCTGTTAGCTCTCATCCAGCCCATGCACTAAATGAGGCAGGGATCCTGTGGAAAAAAGTACTGAGCCATCATGTAATTATAGACTGGACACACAGATAATGATGAATCTGCACAAGGAGTCAGAACTAAGGCTTTGAGAATACAAGCAGGTTTATTGCCTTTCCTACCATTTGAGTTCTTCACACTACATGCAAAAGTTTTTCCATGTAGGGTGGTCTATGGCTGCTGAAGAGAAGACATAAGGGTACCCTTTTATGGGTCCATTAGTCTCCTCAGAAGTTGTCTTATTTGACGTAATATATACTCACACACACCAAGGCAAACACATGCATATGCAAACGTGCTTACACTTGTGTCTGTTATAAAGTAATGTAGTGTTAAGGGGTAATCTAAATAATACAGAGAATCTATGTTCCTCCACTGAATTTCCTTCCCCTTACTAAAGGATTGATCTTCACAGCTGAGACAGATTATGCAAAGGGATCACACATAGAGGAAGGTTTTGTTACTACTGTGGGAGGAGTAGCCAGGGGATTTGCAATTATGTGGATCGAGAATATAAACCTCTTACACAGGAATGTGCAGGAGATCAGCTGCATTCCTGCACTGCAGAGCCTGTGGTAACAGCAGAGAAATGCTACAAAGCTACTGAATTAGAGAAGTCTTTTTTGCCGTCCCCGTTTTGGTTTTGCTTAGCCTGTTTACTGGGACAGCATAGAGATACAACACAGATGGAAACCAACTCTGTTTACCTTAACTGGGGTTTTCATGCTGAAGCATAATTTTTATGTCAATATTTTGATGTTTTCGCTGCTGAATGTTTTAGCAGGCACAGCCAAATACTCCAGAATTATAGACTGAATTTGGAGAAGGAAAAATATCACATGAACAGCCTTCCTTTCTTTCTTTATGACTTTTAAAAGATAATAGAATAAATTACAGGTGAGAAACCCTAGAATATAGACTGCCTAGGTATAGATTTTCCTGTCTGGCAGATTTTCTGCTTAAATTTACTTTCTGGGTAGCAATTATTGACAAATACCATGTTGTATTTTTGCTGCCTTTACAACAATAAGAATGTTGATTTTCATTCTGTTAGCTGCTCAGTGATAATTTTGAGAAGCTACTGTGCAGCTACTGTTGTTCTACTTGACAGAAGATTGTGTACTCACATTTCTTGTCAGAAAAAAAAGCATTCTTTTATTCACAGGAATTTTAGAAGGAAGAAAAAATTGCATCCAGTGAATGGCATATTCTATTTTACATGGAAGAAAAAGCTTACAATGCCACTAATTTTTCAATTAGTATTACCTTATAAATACATTTCAACACCCTTCAACAATCATGTTTTATTTGATCTGTGCACAAAATCTTAGCTTAATATATCTTATGATCATTTATTTGATTTAATGTATCATATAGATATAGATGTTAGGAAGAAATTCTTTACAGAGAGGGTAATCAGGCATTGGAATGGCCTACCCAGAGAGGTGGTGGATTCACCATCCCTGGAGGTTTTTAAACAGAGATTGGACGTGGCCCTTAGTGCCATGATATAGTAATTGCAGTTGGATCAAGGGTTGGACTCGATGATCTTGGAGGTCTTTTCCAACTCAATCTATTCTATGATTCTATGATTCTATGATTCTATAATCAATTTAGTCAGTATTATCAATACAGAAGCTCAATGCCTTCAACACATCAATGCTAAGAACAGGGAAAAACTATTCAAAATTTATTTCTGAAAAATCTAAAGAAGAATAAAATTCACTTCTTTTTCAGAGGGACAGAATAATTTTTGTTCTACTGAAGAACATTAATACAAGATGTTCGAAAGGAAAATTCTTTTGTTGGTCTTATTGCAACACATGAAGTTCTACTATCAGTTAAAAACAGAACAAGGCTGGCCATGCATACTAGAATTTAATACAAACTAATTTTGAGACAATTAACTGTATAAAGCATGAAACTACGTATTGTTAACTGCCACATAATTGTTTATTTCTCATGTCTGCATGCCTTCTCAGTTCTTTGGCATATCACTAACTTGTTGCAGATACCCTCTTAAATGCCCCTGAAAAATAAATAAACCACTAGCAGTGACACAGTCAATTAGTCAGACATGTTCATTGCATTTAATGTGCAGAGTCATATTTTGTACCTGGGTGTTGCTGCTGATGCTTACACATGAAATCGGTATTTTTATGCCTGGATGCTGGTTAAGTAGCAAATATAAAAGGGGAAAGTCAAGTTCATGTATAGCTTTTCAGTATTTTATCAGTATTTTTAAATACAGTACAAAAGTAGTTTTTAGGTTATTATCTCCACAGTTAATTTTTTTTTTTATATCCCCATATCCCTCCTCTGAGATGCATTTGAAATGTATTTGATTGTATTTAAGCCATCAATAATGGGAATTTTAATGGCTCAGATAAATGCAATGCAATACAATGTAGTTCAAAGCAGTGCAGGACTAAAGGCTGAACTCCTAAGAAAAGTTAATTCTACATTTACAGGGGTGTAACCAGTTAATTTGTAATTAAGCTTCCAGAAGCAGGAGTCCAAACTAAAGGTGATCTTCATTTAAGTTGTTAGTTCAACAGAATCATGCATCCGAGTTGTTATCATAGATAGATCATATTTCTGAAATGGAAAACAATGCAAAAAATATTAGTATTGTGTAGTGTTTTGGCTCAAGGAGAAAATTATTAATTGTAATTGAATATAGCTACTGTATTCTTTGAAATGTTCAACATACCCTCAAAAACGTTGTCATATATCTCTTCATCGCAGTAAGTTAAAAAAAAAAGAAAAACAATACATTTAAAAATCGAGACATCAGATATAAATTACTATTTGCATGCAGATAAGAAATAGAGTAGCAGTATGGCAGACAAGCTATCAAGTAATTAATTTGCTAATTAGGAAAATGCAACCTTTGTGGTAATAGAGCAGTGTTTAGCAAGATGGTCAGGTCAGAGGATTTTCAGCAAAGGGTTGACCTGGATACATTTCTTTCTAATATGAATGGCTGGCTTTTTTAAAAGGTTGGAATTTTTCAATTACATTTTTAAGCAACAATTCTCATAGACGTATTTCCTTAAAAAAAATTAAATACTTCCTTGGTTTTTTTTAAATGAACACTAGAAATAATGAAAAAAAAAACCAGTATGACCTTGAAATTAATTTTGTTTCTGTACTTGGCAATGCCATAATAATTTTGGAGGTTTTGCTTTTTAGGTAATGAATTTAGGTAATGTCTATAAAAGATACATGCTTAATGAAAGGAAATTTTCAAAATATTTCACTTAGATATGGGAAGGAGCCCCTGGAAGACAATAAGGCTTTGTATATGTATATATTTATATACATACACAAATATATTTATGTATATATATTAAAAATTCAAATGTGTGTGTGTTTAGATGCCTCTACATTCTAAATGTGACAATTCTAAATATGACATCTATTTGATATTTAAGGGTGTAATATAAAGCCTGTTGAAAGAAATGGAAAGGCTTTGTCTGACAAGAGTTTTGGATTAGAACCGAAATACTGAACCCTATGCAATTATTTGGAGCAAGACTGGGCCAAATCTGCTCAATTGAGGTAATACTGAAATAAAATTAAACCTAAAGAAAATTGATTTTAGTCGATTTTAGTTAAACATTTGAAAAGGATGTCAATACACCTAATCACATTAACTTGCAGTTCATTAATAGGTTCTAATACTAATAATGTTTAATTTATGTAATTTTTCATGGTTTAATCAAAGTTTATGGTTATGCAATGAGAAATGAGGCCCTGGCAAATTTCCAGCATGGATGCATGTGATTAATTCTTGAGAAATTATAACTTCATAAAAAAACCTGCAATTTTCAGGACTAGAATGACAGACTAAAATAATTCCATTTCACTTTTTTTTTTTTAACAGACAGTTTAAAAGAAATTGAGTGTTATAGAAAATTTTTCAAAAAGATCACTTTGTACTTACTTTTGAACTAAATTGCTTCTCAAGACATAGCCATCTGTAAAAGTAAAACATATATGCATTTAACTTAAATACTCTTGTTATTACTTCTGTTGTTAGCACTAGTGAAATGCCTTTTTTCTCTTTTATATACATCCAACAGAAAGACAAAATAGTTGGATAAGAATGTACAATGAACAGTTACTTGATGAAGCTTTTACTATGTCCAGTGTTTTAGTTATTCTTATAATTCTTTATAAATTCTGTTTAGTGTAACACAGTGTCCTATACAGGAAATCAGAATGCTATAGTAGCTGTAAGACCAGTTAGGTATCTACTGTTTTGGATACTTTGCATATTCATAAAATGTTGTTTATCTTGTTTCTTCCTTCACAATAATTTTTTTTTCTGATAGATAAGACATGCAAGTTTTTTGGTTTTTTTTTTTTAATGCATGGTGATGTCCAACTAGAAAATCCCATATTTTTTGTTAAGCCTTTTTGACATCCAAGCCCTAATTCTATTCTATCTGAAATTGTCCTTTCTAAGATCTGTAAATATACTAGTAGAGGGAACCATCCCTTATAAATGTATGTCACACGTAATAAGCTAGTACTGTTCCCAAAAGCTGATAAATATATAATATATAAAAATATCCTATTTTGATATTTTTGGCCAGTGTTTTGATATATAAAAATATCCTATGGTTCCTATATAGAATATTGTAAAAGCTATCCAAAAAGACTAATATCCCAAACAGTCCTGCAAGTAGTAATGAAAAACTTCTTTCTAACAACAGTTTTTTGTTTATGGTTTTTTTAAGGCAAGCTCCTTTTAAAACACCATAATAGGCAGCTTTTTGTCATAAACAAACATTTGTGTCTTTCACTTTAACTTGACATATTTCTGTCTTAAAATAGGTAGATATCAGATGTTATATAGATCTCAAAATTAAATAAGTTTTTTTCCCGGAATATGCTACATATATTAGATTGTGATTTGATCTGTAAAGACCATAATACATTTAAAACCATGAGATTTTAAAAGAAAACTTCTGTCTTGTGCTAGAGCTGAAGTTGCCTAAAAAGGCATTAATTTAATGTGTTAATATTTTATTTTACACTTACCTGCATTAGCTACTGTTTAAGACTTATCAATTACATGAACTAAAAAGTAGTTCTGTGCATTTAATATTTGATTACTGCTATATAAGATAAAATTTGCTTGATTTGCCCATATTTCTATCTTCAGGGTCATGAAGATTTGATACGTACATAAATCCTGCCATAACATGTGCCTACTGAAAGTGTTGAACTGCAAGTAATCTTCAAAAGTCAAGGAACCCAGTGCTCCAGATTTTAAGTCACCTGTGTATTGTCTAAGGCTGAATGCCAGCTGGAACCTATGAAGCTCTGTCTAACCAGATTGTTAGCATGGTTGTCCTTCCCCAGATTTTATAATCTGGGATAAAGTAATGGAAATTGATTTTTTTTTTTTTTTAAAGATGTCATCTTTTTAAAGTTCTCTTTAGGACAGTCCAATAATTTCCAAGACTCCTGAAGTCTTCGTGGAGTAATTTTAAATCATTCTAATCTTCTGAAATACATGGAAGCAAAACTTCTCCACTCACCCTCATGGCATGCAAACACAGTGTGCTCGCAAGTAATGTGCATGTGACAGTGCTTAGATCATGGCAAAGCATAATCTAAGGTCTTCTGATGGTCCCTGGGCCTCAAATAGGTGAGAAATATAGCTCCTACTGATCTCACAGTCTTTCAGAGTTACTAATCCGAAGTTATATGTCCAAAGTTTCAGTTTCTAACTAATTCATTGATTTTTATGGGGCTTCCAAATAGGGAATAAGCTAGCAGGGCAACATCCTCTGTGTTAATTACTTCACCTCACTGAAAGCTATGACACATTGTGCCAGCTGCTCATTTGCATCATAAAGGAAGCTCAGAGAGGAAAAAAACTTTCAGGCACTGAAATTCATTTATATCCTATTGTTTAAGCAAAATCTATGAACTGAATTGAAAGTTTTTGTGTATTTAAAGATGTATGTGTTCAGACCAAGAAGGAATTTAAAAGGGTAAATAAAAATCAGTTCTTTATTTCACTTTTGACATTTCAAATAATTTAATAACAAAATAAGGGATAGAAGAATATGTTCCTAAGATCAGTAGCCCTTGCTTGGAAAGGTGTAAACACATTGCAATATAATTTGTAATTTTAACTGTTAGAAGAGACTTGAAGCTGTGAAGTGCTTCAGAAGTTAATGATTAAATCAAAGAATTCATATGCAAGAAAGTAACAAAGCCATCTCTAATTGCTGATTTTCAGTCTATCTGGCCTTCTGAAGGTAAAATCATAGCTTTAAGATCTGAGGAACTTGATCAACTACAGCAAATAACCAAAACTGTCATGCGTTTACTGAAGTAGAATTCAAACTTCATTAACTAATGTAGAAATTGACAGAGATCTCTACAGAGGTTTTCAGGGAGGATATTTTTATTTGTTTTGCTCTTTTATGCATAGCAAAGCAGTAGCTCCTGTCATTATCTGAAAGGCTTTGAAGACTATGAGACGAAAACAGCCAACATGAACTACTTTCTACTTTGTTATTAGCTTGGTTCAAAAAATGCAGCTTTGAAAGCTGTTTTTTTGGGAAGTGGCTCTACCAGTGAAATCCATATTTTGAAAAACATATGTGTGTTATGCAAGAAATTCTTGCTCACCCTGCAGGCCTGCCAGGAAGAAGGCTGTACTCCAAACTGTAAGAGTAGAGTATAGAGGGTAAAAAAATAGCAGGAAAGTGCTTGAATCCCCTTCAGAGGTTTGTAGCATTAGACTCTCTTCTACATAGGTCAGAGATAAAAAGTAAAGCTGAGAGGGAAGATACTGCTTGTTCAAACGATACTTTGAACCTAGGTTGTTCCAGCACAAAATGAATTTTCATTAGGAGATTTGAAAAGTATTGTAACAGAAGATCATTAAGAAATTGAAACCATCAGGAGATGGTCTGGAATTTTCCAAAAATTCAAAAACTTCTGCCAATGTGTCGTGGTTTTGAGTCTAGGCCTTCCTTGGTAACCAGGCTGTAACCAAGGAACCAAGGCCATGTTCCCAGAATTGTACATAAGCAAGGGTAAAAATAAGAAGGGAAAGAAAACTCTTGCTCTCTTTCTTCCGGCAAAAGGTTCTTTGCTATCATCTGCCTGGGTGAAGGAGTGAGGCCTGGTGTGCCTGGTTGGCCTTGAGAAGCGGATAGTGCCGGCATTTGTTTGGTGCAGTTCACTGCTATCTTGAGGAAAGTATTTGTTTTCTGTCCCTTTTTCCCTTTTTTCCCTTTCCCTTTCTTTTTCCCTTTTGGGGGGTTCCCTGTGGGTGATATCTTGTATATAATTCTATTTATATATATAAATGTGTGTTACTTGGAATTTGGTTTGGGTTCTTTTGATTTTGTACAGTCTTTTCGGTCTGTCCGAGGAGAGGGAGAGGGAGGGGGAAGGTTTTTTCTCTGTGGTCTGGGCACTTGGCTGGGAGCCAAGTCCAACCTGAGACATTTTTTGGAGGTCCCACTGAGATCAGAGTGGGTTGTTTTGGTAACAATTCTTGGGCAGGTGGCCAAGTTCTTGCAAACATAGACTTTGTTTGGGAACAGTTCCAGGAGAGTTGCCAAGAGAGGTTTGCTTATATAAATACACCTCTTGTTTAGGAACAGTGAAAACAACCATATAAATAATGGCCACTTTCTTAATTCTCAATGTAATTTTAGCAGCCCTCGCACATGTTCTGGGCTACTTCATGTGGAAACATCCAAACCCAATGGTGTTTGATTGGAGAGATATTTGGTACAGGTATTCCTCCTTCCTTGACATTAAACGCTGGATGATGGAGATTCCCAAACTGACTGTTGCCTCTAATTATTATCTGAATTGTGTGGCAACAATGTTGTTAATGATGAAGGTAATGGACATATTATTTAGAATTGGAAGGATTGTGTTGTACTGGTTTCCTTGTTATAGGAAAGGTCAAACCTCGAAGGGATTAGCTGGAGCTTTGGAAAGGGGCTTGAAAAGGGCAGTTCCTGGTTGGCAAGGAGCATAGGAAGATTTTGGTATATGGATAGGGCATGTGGCACCTCCCATTACTTGGGACTTCACGCCAGAACAGGTGTTTGATCCTAGTGAGATAACCCATCGTTTAATGGAGGGTTGTCTTTCAAACAAGGATCCAAATACACGAATCTCTGCTCTGTACTGGGGCCTGGCTAGTGCTTATCAAGCCACCATAGACCATCTCAGAAGGCTAAGGGTGAGACAGGGACACAAACTATGCCACTTGGAATCAATGATGTTCCTATGGAGTCCACCAAAATCAGAGTCCAGATGCCACTTGAAACCAACGCTGCTTTTAACGAGTCGCTAAGTGTAAGACTAAGGCACAACCTGAAGCCAGCACAGCTTCTGCCAAACCCGCTGACATTGGAGTTCCAATTATGGACTTTATGAACATGGGAACTCACATGACAACACCTTCAGCCAACGCTATGACTGAGACCGGGGCCCATACCACAGGCTCTGAAAACACTATTGCCCCGTAAAAAAAAGATGTGGATAAGGGAGGATGCAGGGCCCACAAGCCTAGTTCCCTGATTGAGGCATGTAACTGAAGAAGAAGAAGAAGAAGAAGAGGGAGCAAAGGGACCAAGAATTCCCTTTTGTAGGGAGTTTATCGCGTCCAAGTATCAACTAAAGGAAGAGGGGACGGCTGCAACAGATGAAGAAGTAGACGTGAGAGAAGGACCACATCCCAGAGAATTAGGAGCATGTCCAAAAGAGAAGGGGATACGTCCAAAGGAAGAAGAGGCAGCAGCACAGATGGCTAATAAAACACAAAAACCACCAAAGAGAATGTTGACACCCGACTACACCCTTCTTGACTGTTCAACGGAGGAGATGGAATACTATCTGAGATCCTTGTCCCAGGGTCTGGAGGACTATTCGTTACGTCCACCTGTGAGAAGCTTATCCTGGCGCCATGCTCGGTCTCCACCTC